CGTTGTGTTACGTTTGATCGTTATTTTACAGATTTGAAATTATGTGAAGCTTTATTAAGTAGAAAGATGACGTCAGTCGGAGTTGTCGAACACAGACGGTCTTTCGTACCAAATGAATTGAAGATTTGTCGAAAACAATTACATTCATCATGGTTTTATTTTTCGGAATCATCTATGTTATTATCATATCAAGCAAAAGAAAAGAAGAAACCTGTTATTATGTTATCATCATTACATAAGTTGCCAGAAACATTCGATGATGACAAAATCTTACCATGTGTAATCCACGACTATAATCAAACAAAATGTGGAGTAGATGTTATTGATCAATGTATCAATCATTACACGGTGCGTCGAATTACCCGTCGATGGCCAATGATCGTATTTTATAATCTCATTGATATTGCAACAACAAACGCAATGACAGTTTGGTTATGTCAAAACTTGGATTGGAATTCGAAAAGGTCTAATACTCGACGTATATTTTTGACACAATTAGTTAAACAACTTGCACACCAACAAAATCAACGTCGTAGTGAAGAAGCTCGTCTGAAACCCAAGGTGAAACTAGCTTTATCATCATTTGGTTATAGCATTCGTCCGGAAAGCTTAAAAGATGTTAATACTAATGTTCAATTAGATCCAATTAAAAAAAGGTGCTATTTATGTCCAGCAAATCCTGGACGAAAAGTTCGACAAACATGCAACAATTGTGGGCTCCATGTTTGTCTATCACATTCAAAGAATATTACAATGGTCACGTGTCAGACATGTTCAGAAAAATAATAGGAATGTTTTTGTATTTTTATAAAGAGTACACTATAAAGAACATGATTATGATCTAAGTGTTCAATTAGTTTTTATTATTTTTAACTATAAAAAGAAAAAGATAAGAATAAAAGTAGTTGACTAGAAAATTTGTCATTTCTTTATATATAATTGATTTTGTATATACTAACATATAAGCGCAAATATATCATTCTATTGACAATGGTCCACTCTACGAAATTTTCAGCTTATATTAATATCATTTTAAAAAGACTACCCAATCCTTATTTGTAGTACGGAGCGCTCTTACAGTACTCAGTACGAAATGCGTTCGTATGCTCATAAAACCGAAGCATCTGTATCTTTATGATTTTACAAATGAAAAGCTTTAATGACGCTAAAATTTGGTTTTTTGATAAACTTTCATATGCGGGTCCAGATGGACCCCAGAACATCCACGAAGTTAAAAAATGAGAACATCCACGAAGGGTTAAATGTATTATAACAATAAATGACGAAATGATTCACTAACTGATA